TGCTCTCTTGTTCAAGATTTTTCAGGTCGACGGTGAGTTTGTGCTTCCTGAGCACTGTTACCGATTTGCACGCGGTCCCTCAAACGCTCTCCGCAGCACCGCCAACAACGATGACGGATTCGAGATCAGCGTTCGAAGGTCGTATGATGGAGCCAGAGTTGGCAATTGGTTTGAACCGGAGAAGGAGTATCTGGTAACTCTAAAGAATGAGTTGCCAATGGTAACCTTTGATGACTTCCTATTTTGGCTGACGCCGAGTGAACCACAGACGATGGGCCAATTTGAAAGGAAAAATGTTAGTTTCGAGTGTAAATAGCACTTTACCGTAAAATGGTCTCCTCCTCCAGCTCCTTCTGCTACTCCTTCTCTTCCTCCTCCTTCTCCTGCCCCTGCTCCTCCTACTCCTTTACAGCATATTCTCCTTTATCACCTTAGACGACGGAAGACTGTGCTTTGTCACCAGGGAAATGTGTGGGATCATGGGTCCACACACTCTATCGCAGGGGATCGCGATTGCCCTGGCACAGCCGATACCGAAGTCACCGTGCTGGTCAAGTGTTCACTCGCAATCGTCCTGGATGCCATGGCCTCGTTGTGGAGAGTTTACACGGCTTTAATGGCGCGTACTCGCGATTTGCTCGACAGATGGGCCAAGTTGTCCTCCTATGGCGTAGTCCAAATGCCAGTCGTCACAATTGTGTCACTTTTCATGCCATGGTGCGTACGCAGACGTCAGTCCTAAAGGAAGTTGGTGAGTGTTACAAGACCACCAAAGTTCTGTGCTCAAAACCACTTAATGATTGTTTTATTTTGTCCAAAGGTGGTCTAATGAAAACACTTTGCCCCACTGAAATGCGTCCAATGGAACCGGTAATCTCAGGAGTACGTGAAACGCTTGATATTAACAGAAACAATCCTGCAGATCCTATTCAAACGCCCAATGTAGATCCGATGGAGCTGAGACTACGGGACAGCATTCAACCAAAAGACTGCTGTGCATGTGGCACTGCAACCTACAGACTGACTTTTCAAGGTCTCTGGAACCGAACGACACACCCTCAAGACTGGCCAACGAAGAATCCAAATCTCCTTCATTGGACAAACCTCATCGGTGCCAGTCATTCACCCAGTTTTCAGATTTATGCGATTGGACAAACTGCTAGTGCTGGAGTTCAGTCCGTCTGTGCGTATGGCGACACTACAGTGCTTCGTGAAGCCTTGGCCTTGGCAGCTGCAAAATCGGAAGGCGCTGCAGGCGTCCCAACCGGCAGCCAATCGGCTACCACCGATGTCAGTCCCCTTCGAGCACTCATTTCCACACCAGGAATGTGGGGTGAGGAGGCTCTGATGGAGCAACGTACAACCCTCTTCTCAGTAAACCGAACACATCCACTCTTTTCATTGCTTACAATGCTGGGTCCGAGTCCTGACTGGTGCACGGGCATTTCCGGTCAGTCGCTATGCAAGGCGGATTGCACGTGGGTAAGGAATATGACGTTGTACTTGCATCCCTGGGATGCAGGAATCAGAGAAGGTAATACGTATATGCCAAAGGAGTCCGATCGAAAGGAGATTCCAGATCCAATTCGCTACATTGACGAAAAATGGATGCCTGGAAACCCGTTCAGGGATAAGAAACCGATTGCACGAGTCGAAATTGAAAGAGAACTACCAAAACACGACTGGGAATGCACCAACAAGGATGCGGATGGAGTGCATCTCTTTCTGATGAGTGGAGGCATTCATGTGACCGGAAAGAAGGCATCAGATGGCATGGAATCTGACAAGAAAAAAGATCAAATGCATGCTGCATCGGCTACTCAGCAGGTAAGCCAATAAACCTTCAATTAATGCCACGACTACCAAAATGGAACGATTTTCGGTGTGGAAATCGACACGCATTCTGACCGCCTAGATTGTGACAGGAAAGGGTCGTGGCAAAAGCTCCAAGTCGGTAGGTTTTGGTGGTCCGGGAGCAAGCGGGACACTTGGCACCAATAATCCGCTCTCAGATCCCAGTCTGGCTCAAATGGCCACTTTCCTCTGCATCACCAGCGAGTGGTCCGCCTGGTCTGCATGCTCAGTGACGTGTGGTGTTGGCACAAAAACTCGAACTCGTCAGCTTATTGCTAACAAGAAACCTGAACTCTGTCAGCATGTACCCCTGGTGATGGAAGAGGTAAAGTTCATTCACTTTGGGTCATTTGCAAAGACAATTTCATAATATATAACACTCCTAATTTGTTGTAAAGTCGTGCGAGGGAAGAAAACGAACGTGTGATTACAGTGCGCCTTGCAGTTTTTTGCCCTGGACGCTTTGGTCCCCCTGCAACGCCACGTGTGACCGCCAAGTTGGCGTGAGAAGCAGAACTCGGGCCTTGGCGAGACCCGAAGAGGCTAAACAATGCGAACATCTATGGAAGGGGAGGGTGGGTGGCATGGAGAGTGTCATGAAGGAGGTTGAGGTGTGTCGCATACCACCTGAGGCTTGTGAACCAGCAACAATTTGTGGAGAGGGTCCCAAACAAGGCTATCCTTGTGGCAAAAAGGTGAGGCGATTCTACTACAGGTGAGTGCTAACAAAATTCAAGTTTCTAGGATGATAATAGCAACCTCATTCAATAAATTCCCATTTTGTACACCACAGTGCAATTGACCACGAATGTCTCGAGTTTGAGTACCTCGGCTGTAAAGGCGGACGCAACATGTTTGAGACAAAGGAGGAGTGTGAGAAACTGTGCATTCCGGCCGTTGAGGCTCTCCCAGGTTGGCGACGTGAAAGGATGGGTCTTTTGCAATTCAAAACATCCCAGCTAGCCCCGTCGGCAGGCGATACAGGAGAGGAGGAATTAAAACAGGATCCAGCATGCCATTACGAGGTCAACACGGGGTATGAGTGTGACCCACCCAAAGAGCTAGGCAATTATTGGTGAGTCACAAGAGCATTAGTCGCTCTCTGCAGATGTTTAAAGGTCAATCGGTAGCGGAGTTGAATGAACCAAATGCAAGCCGTCTTGTAGGTACTACTGCACCCGCACAAATCGCTGCCGCGATTTCTTCTACCTCGGTTGTGGTGGGACACCCAATCGCTGGGCCAACCACACAGCCTGCATGGCTGCCTGCATGCCCAACGAGCTGCGTCAATCACAATTACTGGCTAAAGTGAGGGCAGCTACTGGATCGCGTAGAGCGGATAATGGACGAGGAGACGACAAACACGACGATACCGAAGCACCATTCGGACTGGAGGTGGCAGTCAGCCCTAAACAAGACTGCCGTGTGACCAGCTGGGGCGGGTGGGGTCCGTGCTCAGTCAGATGTGCCAGTCAGAATGGGCAACAGTTACGTCTCAGAGCTATAACAAGACCTGCGAGGTATGGCGGCGCTGCCTGTGGACCGCTCTACGAGAAAAGAGAATGCCATGGAGGCGATGTCTCTTGCTGAAAGGGGTCTCCGCTTTTTGGTTTGACATGTCAAAACTTATTTATAAGCTATCTCACCAGTATTTACATTTCAGCACTAATTTTGCCAGTCCTGATATTATCTACTGCAATTTAATGAATAAACACCACTTTCTTCTTTGTTTACCATTTAGAAGCTAATTTGGCACCGATAAAACGAATAATCAGGAAGGAAGAGAAATTGTTGGGATTCCTTTTGAAATACGGTTCGGCAAGAAGATTTGGGCGTTTACCAAGGAGGGATTGGGCCACTAGGAACATTAGGAAAGGACAAAATTGGTGTCTAGGGAGACAATTTAAGCTCCAATAGATGTTCGAGTGGTGTTAGAACGCCAAAAGCATTAACCAACGAAGGATAGACGCTGGCAGGTATCCATGTGCGGATAGCATGCACTGTCGTCTATTGGGCTATCCTCGTAACTAAAATGCATTTGCCATTGAAGATAATTTAACTGGCAAGCCCAAAAAAAGAAGGAATCAGCGGTCATGGCAATGCACCTTAATTCAACATGTAAAATGTTTCACCAAAAGTTATCCGGTTGGACGCTTTGTAATACAATGTTTATGTGACCGATTGCATAAATAGCGCTTACTTCGACATTTATCTTGCGCTTGCCCAATTACCACGCCTGCTGCTTATATACGTGCAGTTAGCTCTACTTAATTTCCTCTTCTATCGATAGGGAAGTCTCGATACTCTATATACATAGGCATTTTAGACACATTGTCATGACAATTTTCAAGTCCTCTGTTCAACAAAGCTACAGCGTTATAGAGAACCCACGCTTTTAAACAACGGGGATTCGAGAAACTAATAGCGGAGAGAGTTTGCCAACCTCAAAGACAGCCGTGTCTGCTAGCTCAGGCGGGATGAGAACAACGCACCACGTTTCCCATCTTTCGTAACGGACATGTTGAAGCTTGCAAAAGACACACAGATGGTAGATTCATTACTATTCAGATGTGTAATACTTTGTTTACTTGGCCACAAGACGTTTTGTGGTCACTTTAGGAGTTGTCTGGCCATTGTCTACGTGGCTGGTCTTCGGGCCATACCCAGGCCCATATGTCCTGTCATCTTCATAATACATGTATCCAACTGCACTTACTTACCTCATGTTACCAGCTAAGAAGTCTCAAGACGCTACAAAATCTTACTTAAAAGTTTATTCATCGCACATAAACTGTAATAAACAAAAGCATGTTTAAAGCATTTCAAAATAAGTGCTAAATATTAAAGAAACGCCAACATTAAAGTCAAGTCTGCTCGTACCCAAGATAAGTATCTACCGCTTAAAATATCAAGATAGAAAACAACAATCGTCTCCACTTTATTTGCTTTTGTGTCAAAATGTGTTTTATTAGATAACACGTTTGTTTAAAGAATTGCGAATAGCAAGTCGCTGCTTGATCAATTAGAAATTGAAGTGCTTGTGTCCGAGTGAAGATGTCGGAGAATCGGAAAAGCTGTTCGTTTGAGATATCCTTCGACGAAGTTGAGTCTCCTGCTTCTAATAAGAGCCCTTTTGTCTCCGCGAAACTTTCAAAGAATTGTGATACTCATGGGAAAGATGCGGACGAGAGGATGGCTGAAGTTTTACGAAGAAAGTCGGATATCTTGCAGGTAAGGGACGAACACTATGAGGCGTATGCTTCTTGTGGTCATTGTTCTTGTTTAATTGATAGCTTTAGTCTGTTGCTAAAGCTTGCGTTGCAATTTCGATACGCGAAGATCTGGAAGGCCAATTATATTTCCATCCTCTTTCACTGCTCCTACTTTATTCTCCCTCAGCAAACTCGCGAAAAATACGAGGCCTACAATCAAAAAGTAAAGTTTGTGGTGGAAGATATAAAGACCAAGCGTGACTGCCAAATTGCCGAAATGATAGAAAATGCTGAAATGCGACTTGAGATGGCTACTCTCCGGCGCCGTCAGACTCTGGAAGAAAAGGCTGAATCGGCCAAGAAAATGGTATGTATGCCGTGATTGTGGCACTTTTTTTTGCCTCATTGACTTACATGTATCTTTGGGCTGCTCTTGTCCTTTTTACTAAATACTTACTAAATGAGTAAGGAAGGATTGGCGAAGTGATTCACTCATTCATTTCATTGCATTGACTTTTGTATCAGTAGTACTCAGCTTTGAGCATGGGTTGATCTTGTTCGGATTGGATTGTGCGTTTAATAATCTTAAGTTTGACCGAGTTGAGCGTGTGCGGGCGTCTTTGTCGGAAGAGGCCGAGCGAAAAATGAATGATATCGTCCAAGACATGGCCAATAAAGAAAACAATCGGAATAACATCATACAAGGTGTTAGGGATTCTTGTCATCACGAGGTGAGAATGTTTAAACATTCAGTTTTCTAGGCTGTTTTGCGATGTATCAACTGTATAAGTTGCTGCTTTATTTTTAGCTTGATAAGGTCGCTAGGGCTCAAAACCGCCGGGCTTCAGTTGGCAAAGATTAATTGCGTCCTCCTTCTCTTTGCCTCGACTTTTACAATCCTTCATTCCTCTCTCGCCCCTCCTCTTTTACAGGCATTTTCCCTCCAGTTTTCGCTTGTCGTATTGTCTATTCGTCTAACTCACGTGTCCTCCATTTTACCGTGGACTGCATCCTTAATAAACGGTTTGTTTATAACTCCTTTCCGACTGCCATTGCGAAATGAATGGATTGTCTCTGTTGTAGTGGCTCCCTGTTCATTTTGACGCTTAATGAATTGGAGGAAGTGGCAATTCTCGTGAATCTCTCCTGTGCTGCCACACCAATGTTTTAATGCATTGCAAACACTTTTTTTGCAATGATGTCATAGTCTTCAGTGCTATATTGCCGGGCAGTCTAGGGGGGATCTAGCAAGAGTTTGGTAGATGGAAAGATTTGATCCGTTTCTCAACCATCTTTGGTATTCGGCATCTTCGAAAGCATTTCAACTGGTGGACTATTCTGTCGTCCGTGCGCCAGATGTGAGGAATTGGACTTATGTAAATAAATAAGCGCGTGACTTCTGTCCTGAAGTAGTTTTCAATGGATAAATGTCTAAAGTAAAACTGCTATTCACCAAAAAGTGGTGTTACTTCACCGTAGGCTTTAAGTCTGCCCAAAGGTGTCGTCGTGTTCTACTTCTCTACATTTTTTAAGGAAATTTTCCACTCCGCGTCTTTGTTCGCCTTTTGTGACACGTAGTCTACTTCTTGCGATAATGTTCCGAAAACGGCCAATTTTCATTTTGTGTGGTGGTCAATGCCACTCAGGCGGAAATTATTGGAGGAATCTTGTTCATATTTTTTTGGTAGCTTGAATGCTGCGGTAAGAGTGTTTTCGCCAATATTTTTACTGACGTTCGTCTTACCTCAAATGTTACGGCAAGTTCACCTTGGCACTGGAAATACATTTGGGCATCAATCTTTTATGTGCTCTCTAAATGATTTCAAAAGAATGGTTAAAATTTTGGGCTGTCATTAATGTTCACTGTCTACGACATCCTGCTCTTCTCTAAAAGAGGTATTTAGGACTTTCAATTAGCCTTGTTATTAACTGCGGCATTACCAAATCTTAGTGGGTAACTTAAACGAGTTTCCCGGATAAATCGTTTGTGCATCATCACCAACGGAAATGGGATCCGCAAAAATGTTGGTTCTACTGACTAATGTATGTAAGTAGTAGCTGCATCAGCAGGTGTGTAGTTCCTAAGTCATAATCCCTTTTTCGTTTGAGGAAATGCCTTTGCGTGTGAGAAGCCCTCGACGCCATTGCTCTATTATGTGCCTAAAACAGTGTTATTGAACAATCTACTGTAGTGTGTGTGAATTAATGAGGTCAAAAGTTCAACTTGTAGGCTTATCAGTAGTTCTGTAGGCAATGATTCCATAAAAGCCGTTCAGATAAATTCCAATAACTATTATTGAGCATGGCTGAGAGATGCAGGTATTTACAGCTCACTGTGTCAGCAGCTGTCCAATTTAGAAGGCTATGAAACGCGTGTTGTGCGGAAAGTCCTCAACTTCGATGTCCAATCATCACATCACGGCAAATTGTCCATCTACATATGTGATTGTAGATGTACGGCTGCTCCTTTCTGCTCTCCTCGCTCCTTACTCCTCCTCCTCCTCCTCCTCCTTTAGTGCAAGAAGACAACTGCAATGACGGACGTAGTGCAACGTAAAGGAGGCATGTTACAAATTGACGACTGAACAACGTTTTTTTACATCACTGTTTATGTGCCATGCGTCTGTTTACTTTAAATGATTGAAAATGGGAACAGTGTGGGGATTGCAAACACAGATTCTACGATGACTTTGAATGTTGTCGCAAAATAACGTGTCAAACGCAGGTGCTTCTCGCTACGGAACTGGCTCAATCCACCCTACGTGGCTAAGAGAAAAGATAGTCAGGAAATGCAAGGCGCCCGTTCCACTCCCTACCAGCTGGATGCGACCCAGCGAGGCAAAGCTGTGCTAACGTCGACCCAAATGAATACTTACTGAAAGGGACACTCACAACTCCACCACTCACCTTTGCAATTGACTTTCCTTCATCTCTATTTTCTCCATACAAACCTAATGCTAAGCTGTCGCGCCCAACACTTCCCTTTCAACGCAGCCATAGGAATCGATTTCATGAGTGATGTTACTTAAATAAAATAAGTAAAAACAACGTGGGAGTGAAGATTTCATGATACATAAACATATATATATGTACGCATGTATGTACGTATGCAGGTATAGTCGGAAAGTGCGTTGGACGTGAGAGAAGTAGGAGGGAGGAAGGAGACGAGTGAGGCAGTGAGAGCGAAAGGAGAGCAGTTGGGAGGAGGAGGTAGGATGTTGAGCTGAAATGTAAGTGAACGTAGTTGGAAGGTGCGTTGGGAG